ATATACCTTCTCTCTTCTTCTCTCTCCTCCATGTGCAACAAGCTCTCTCTTACTGTTCTTTAGATTTCTACTTCTTCTCTTCAGCGCCGATGCCCAAGACTAAATTTGCCTTCTCTCTCTAACCAGTAGCTCGTTGTCTTCTTCTTCTCTCTTCTCCCTCTTCTTCTCTTGTTCTTAATCCATGTCATCCCAAGACTAGGAGTAACGTTTTCTTCCACGAAAGTTGCTATTCTCGTCCAATTTAAGCTTGTTCATAACACAAGGTAAGTGGCATGGGTGTGTCTTTTATATTATGTGGATTTTTGGATGCTGAAAGGAATTAATGTAATTATTTGTGGGTGTGTATGTTTTCTATTTCAATTGATTGTTGTAAGAATCACACTTAAGAATTATTCAACATTGATTGGGTTACATTTTGATGATTAAAAAGCTTGCTAAACTTGTTTAAACCTTAATGCACATAAGGTGTTTATGAAAATGTCTGAGAAAGCAATTTGATTGGAATATAATAGTTAATTAAGTATTTTCAATGTTTAATCTTCATATTGAATTTTAGAAAGCTTTAAATGCTATTCAAACTTATCTACTATATAACTTTATTTTTGTTACTTTGTAAGTAGATAGCGTGAGGAGAAGTGTGTTTCAAATTATATTAAAAAGCTTGAGTTGAATGTTACAATAATCCTAGTTAATATTACAAGTACGCTTGAAATTGATTTTTCGTTTTGATGCTTAGTTCTTGTTGCTTAACTAAATTGTGATGTCATTAGATATTTTGGTTTTAAAACTTACTTATGTTATATGACTAATTTATGTAAGTTAATTAATTAGAATGTTATTTGTTTTAAATGTTTTGACTCTTAAAATTGTGGATTGTGTGAATTCTACTTGCACAGAAGAAATATGATTTGGTTGTGCTAAATTGCTGTTATTATTTGCTATAATCTGTTTTAGTTTTGCTGTATATATATTTTTATAATTGCAAATTGAATAAAAACCAACAATATGCAAATTTCCACTTTTTTTGTTCCATTTTAAAACAGATGAATATATAATTATTATCTATGTCTTCTCTGTCAACGTCTCCACTAAAACAAACGAAAAAAAGCCTTCAAAACATGCAAAAATAACATACTCCTCCAGTCCTTAATATAGGATCCAATTGGTGAGTTGGTTTTGGTCCTAAATATAAGACCCATTTCTCATATTTATCAATTTTCTCTAAATTACCCCTATGGATACTCCTTTAACCATAATCAAGTAGAAAAAGAAAATGAGGTATTAAAAAAGATGATTATGGTATTTTAAGAAAACATTTCACATTTCTTATAATTAACTAACTTACCTAACTTCCTTAATCTAATCAAATTAGTTAAATGAGTCTTATATTAAGGACCAGAGGAGTATTTTGTAATAGGGCATGAGTATAAAAAATGTAATTTTTTTTACTAAGGAAAAAATGTAATTAGATATATAAAAGTTTGATATAGTGTATATTTTCTTGATACCGAGTGTACAATATAGGGTATGTTTGAAACAGGATGGGGTAAGCATTAATTAGATCTCAAAAACAAAAAAAGTAACTGCTAACTTCTGACTGTTGTCCTTAATGTCCATGGACATCTTTTTTCCCCCTAAAATATCTCTATTAATTATAAGAAATTTTTTTCAATGCATGTTATTAGAGAAGGTAGTTTAGAAGGTCACCGACACATATTTGTTGTAATTACAAAATGTAACTGATTTTTTTAATCTCTTCAAATTAGTTATCTAAGTTTTATATTAAGAATTGAAGGTAATATTTTTTAGCCTAAATTCATGTTAATTTTTATTGATAAGTAAGTGTATCTTATAAAAAGAAGGAACACGTCATTTTTTTCAAAAAAGAATAATAAATAACAAATAATATCCCCGGATGAATATAACATAAACGGAAACTGACTTGACATCATAACCTAATTATGAAGAACTTCCTAGTAGCTAGAAAATAAAGAAAACCTCATCTTAAAAGGGAAAACACCTAAACTCATCAAAAGAATGAATAACTAACTAATAAAATTATTAACAAAGTGAAAATAAATTAAAGAGCTTTGAGAATTTCATCTGCACTGGATACAGTGAACTCTCCTCCTTCTTCAATAATGGCAACCTTAACCTTAAGACCATCCACCAACAAAGCAAACCTCCTTGATCGAACACCAAGTCCAGCTTCTGTAAGATCAAGCTCCAAACCTAAAGCTTGTGTATATTTCCCCATTGCATCACTCAGAAACTTCACATTCTTGTTCTCTGCAAATGTCTTCCCCCACGCATTCATCACATACCCATCGTTCACTGTCCCAATCACACAACAACATTCAAATCATTTACTCATTAACATGTAAATCTTTCTAAGAAATTTTAAAAACGGGTAAAGGTATGTTCAAAACCTTGATCTTATTTCTCAAATACATCCAATATTTGATATTATTTTCATGGAGCATCCAGAACTCCTATGTTTTTTTATTTGATATTATCTTCAGGGTATTAGATGCACATCTGAAAAATAAGATCAAAATACTGAGGTACCTTTACCCTTTCAAGGGTGTATGTGTAATACCACTAATGCAGATAATTTCGGCTACACCCTTTGTTTTCAGCTCATCAGCTTTCTCCACAAAGCCAGGAACATGCTTCAAGCTGTGCATAAATTTTCAGTGAGTTAAAGGTTATGAATAGTAGGGCTAGATGGTAAAGATTAAGATTGAATATAAGTTAAATGAAAAACCTGCAAACGGGAGTGAAAGCACCTGGAACCCCAAAGATTACCACTTTCTTATTGGCAGCTAGACTGTGAATAGAGACATTTTCAACCGTGTTTTCCTGATTGATGAATGATAATGTGCCGTCTGGAATCTAATTTCCTGCCGCTATTGGAGCCATTTTAGAAGGAGATAATGAACCAATATGATATTTGATCAACTTGATTTGAGTATTATAGCTGATGATGATAATGTCAACCAAAGGTATGAGTTCTATATATAGAGGACTACCATGTCATCTTTTTGTGATCAAAGAGTTGTTAAATCAAATAAATAATCTCAAATGTATTGATTTCAAATGAAAGGTAATCTTTTGGCAATTTTAACTTTAAGTTTTCAAGGTATTCTTATTCCTGAGAAGTGACAGATTCTATTAAATTCATTGGGTATTTTAATTGTATCGTTTTGAAAATAGGGAGATATGTTCTTTGGTTATGAATTTTTTTTTATAAAAATAAAATCTTATTAGTGAAAAGGAAAATGTTTTCCATGTTTAAAAAAGAGTTAATATAATCTTTAGTCCCTCAAGTTTGCTCTCATTTTGGTTTTAGTCCCTCAAATTTCAAATCATAAGTTTTTGATCGAGTAAAATTGTCCAAGTTTTTATTAGATTATAGGGATGTTTGGGTGGAAACAAAATCATGATTTTAAAAGTGTTTTTACAGTGTACGAAGTAAATATATAGAGGAGTTTACTTGGATCTGAGAAAAAGTAAAAACACTTTTCTAGTAATCCAAACACCCCCTGTAAGGGCCAATGTTTTCAATAAAAAAAAAAAAACTTGAAGGACTACAACTTATTATTTGAAATTTGAACGACAGAAACCAAAATGAGAATAAATTTGAAGAACTAAAATTTGTATTAACCTTTTCAAAAATTATAAAATATGCCTTTCAATTTTCCAAATTAAATATTTTGTTATTACCTTTTCAAAAATTATAAAATATGCCTTTCAATTTTCCAAATTAAATATTTAAATGTGACGTTTGAGCTCACGTCATTATGAGAACAAAACTATTTAGATATTTTGATTTGATTTGTTATAACTCAAAATACAGAATAAAATAATATAAAATTCGATAAATTATAAAAATAAAAAACAGATTAACCAACCATTGCATAAATTATTTATATTTATTGAACATTCATTTTTAGTTATTAATCTAATTCATTATATTATTTGAAACTTTGGAATCACTGGGCACAAAAAAAAAAAACTTTGGAATAAAGAATAACCTAAATCTCAACTAATGGTCAGAATATTTTGGAAATTTATTTAATATTTTCAAAAAATATTTCTCTTAATAATTAAACAAATTGATTGTAATTAATATTGTTATTTAGAGGAAAAATAGATATTATTGGAAACTTCTGAATCCAAGACAAGCTAAATCCAAACGAATGATCACAAAATTCTTGAATGCTATTGTTTGATTCAGAGAATTTTATTGAGACGAATGATTTGGAGATTAAATTACGACTTGATATTCGGTACGAAACATTTTAAAATATTAATTTACTTATAAAATAACTACATTTCAAATACGTATTTTTTAATTCAAAAAATATAAATAAAATACCGAATTTTTGTTTTCTATTTTTAATAGTAGTATAATTGAAAGAGCTGCAGTATCTAGACGAAGTGGATGCATTGTTGACATTGAGAAATTTTCGGAACAAGTCATCGTTGGTGAAATTCTTATCTCCTGCCAAATTAATAAAACATATTTTGAAATTATAAATTAATTTTTTATTCTAATATCTAAACTTTTTATTTGCATTTTTGTATGTTCAGCATAGATTCTAAGTACTTATATTGAAATGGTAAAATTAGAAAAATATATTTTGATCCTAAACGATTAACCTCAACAAATTTATAATAAATTTAATTGATAATATGAATTCCAATCTTTTATTAATTAAAAAGACTTAATAATTAATCGAGATAATTTTTCTATTTTTGTAATCTCTATAATGAATATGTTATTAATAAAATCAAGTATTTTTTTAAACAACTATAAACTATTGATGAAAACAAATTAGAACTTAGAATATTAAAGATTTTGATGTACTGTTTGAGCTCACATCGTTAAGAGAATAGACAAAAATTAAAATTTATTCAAGTGCAAAAGTTAAAAGATTTATTCTATTTTAATGTTGGAAAAATCTCAATAATACTTACAATTGGATTAAAAATTCATAAAACATCTATGCATTTCTTCCACAAGAGAAACAACTATAGATTGTGTCTTTAGTACAACGTGATAATAATATATACAATAACCTTCATCCTATTTCTTTTAATTCTATTTTATGAGGTTTTCCCCCGAATTAAACGGGCAGAATAGATACTAATAGCTTAAAATTACAAGTAGATCGAATGTATTACCTCTCACTTACAGAAGAGCTTCTATGCCACTAGGCCACAATGTTGTTGGCAGCTGAGGGGTTTTAAGTTTGACCCTCCAATCTTTAATTCAAAACAAAATACTATCTTTTTATGGCAACTACACATGACAGCCTGTCTAATTCTTTCTAGGATCAACCTCTTTCTTAGATTGTAGATTTGAGTCAAACTCATCATCCCAATTTCCTATATCTTGAGTAGTCCCATAAGTCCAGCTACACACAAAGAAGCACAACAGATTTATCACTCCCAAAATGGTAAGAAGCGCATAATAGTAATCATAGTGACCATTGTTGGGACTAGATTCAAGCCAATTGTGCCTTCCTCCTTTCTGTGTCAAATTCTTCACAGTCTTCACAATAACACTGCCCAACACATTGCCTATACCCCAGCCAGCATAGAAGAATGACACAGCAACACTTGACATGCTCTTAGGAAACTGACTATAAAAGAACTCAATCTGTGCAATGATGTTAAAGCCTTCAGCTAAACCAGTTATGCAGAGTTGAGGTACAAGCCACCAAACAGACATATTAACAACGCCCTTCGGGTTTCCCACTAATCCTTCTTCAATGGCAAGGCTTCTTCTTTTTCTCTCTACTTGTGATGCTACTGCCGTGGCTAAAACTGTGAGAAATAAACCTATTCCCATTCTTTGCTTGAGAGTGAAGCCTCCTCTTATTCTGGGGTGTTTTGATTTTGACAGTAAAGGGACTAGAACGCGATCGTAGATGGTTATCCAAATAGTCATTGAGATGATTGAGAATACAGCGATGTTGGGTGCTGGGATTTCAAAGTTGAAGATTAAATGTCTGTTCATTGTGCCTGCTTGAACTACCAAGAATGTGTATTGGTTGATGATGATTGAAACTAAGAAGCCAGTGGACCAAATAGGAATCACTTTGATGAGTACTTTCAGTTCTTCTACTTGTCTCACAGTGCACAGATTCCATGGATTTATTGGGGTCCCATTGGAGTCCAAGTCTTTCACTCTGTTCTTGATTATGCAGGCTTTGTTCAAAAACCTATGGAAGATCAAAGTGAAATATGCACATAAAATAAGTCTGGTAATATAATACATCCGAACACTGACATTGTTGCAGAAATCTGAGTTCCTCTATAAGAATGTCTTTTAATCTAAGAAAGAAGTAATACTCCCTCCTGTTCTTTTTATAAAACGGTACTCATTAATCCTTAATATAAGAGTATATATACCAAATTTAGTGAAACATCTGTTGGTCATTTTCAAAAAGGCCATTGTCCCTTTCCTCCTCAAATAATGACTTTAGTTTAATTGAGAGCAATTTTGGAAAGTTATGAGAATCTCTAACATTCAACTTTAATTAATTTAACTAATTTATAAGAAGCTTTAACGTTCAACTTTAATTAATTTAACTAATTTCTCTAATATCAGGAAAGTAGTCAACAGGGTCTTACAAAGAGGACAAGTTTAGCACAACTTGGTACCTTAATTTTTCTGTAGGTTCAACAAGTTTAGCACCTTCCAGGAAATACCAATCTCCAGAACCCTTGGGAGGAAGTGTAGCATGTCTATTTTTCCAGGCTGCTACAACAGCTTGGACCAAGCCAGTGAGCAAGCTCTTTTCTGGTTTGGTTTTGACATATAGGGGAGAACCCAAGAAGAACATGGAGGTGGAGAATAACATGAGGCCCACAGTAATCCCGAAGCCTACAACCCAACCTGTTTTGATTTGAACGTAAACTATAACTGTCACTGAGACGGCAATTGAAACTCCAACTGAGACATAGTACCAATTGAAGAAACTCTTCATAATTCTCTCATTATTCAGGTTTTCTGGGTTGTTCATTTGATCTGCAGCAAAGGCTAAAGAACAAGGCCTGATACCACCTGCTCCAATGGCCATGAGAACAAGTGATGAAACTAGAAACAGCACTTGGCCTGTACTTGGGCCTGCACAAGCTTCTGTGTAAAAGTTGCAGTGTGGTGGCCTTGCATTGCGAATAATTGCAGTAAGCCATAGCACAATCATTCCCTGTAAGGAAAATACCACCACCATAAGTCTGATAATGCACTTTTATATTCATATGTAGAAAACATCATCATGTGCACATGTTATTTGAGTAGAAGTTATTGACAAGAAGCTACTGTAGACAAGGTAGCATGTTGGAGAATATATTGCTATAGCTTATATATAAATATATATATATATAGACCAGCAGAAAGCAGTAATGGTGTCTGGTTTCTTCAGTGAATATACTTGGAAAACAGGCCTCATAATCTAGGCCTAGCCTTTGAGTTCAATAAACATATTTCTAAATATAGATGCTAAACCCGTACAGGCCAAATAAACAGACGTGTTTGTTATTTGTCAGAGTTGTCCAATTCATTCAAAGAAGTTCATTTTTTCAATTCTAAGTATAAATTTCTGCACAGAATACAGTCATACACAAGTTTCTTAAATTCAGTAGCTCATAGCCTCGATATTCTTTTCCCTTGCATGTTAATCCATTTGTTACTTCAGATATTTTTTTTCCATTAACATCGCAACATTTCATCACTGAAGACAAATAATACAAAAATATACTGACGAACTATACCAAGAAAGAAAGGAAAAGAAAAAAGCATCCTTACAAGAAGTTCGAAAAGTGTCCCACACATGATAACTCGAAATCGTCCAAGGTAAGAATCAGACAAGAAAGCACCAAACATTGGCATAAAGTTTGTGAGGGCGTTCCACAGGAAAATTATTATAGACCCAGTTGCAGCATCATAATTATACTCTGTCATGAGGTAAATTATCATGTTCACATGTAGCCCCACATTTGCCACTTTCTCAAATGTCTCGTTTGCTGCAACACACCAAACCAAAAGCTTGAGCCACGTTCAAGATAAGCTATACATGTATAGTATATACATATACATATCATCACTAATAAACTTGAAGTAAGTGTATTACATATGATAAAGGGCATGGTTCTGAAGCCACCCTTTTTGCTTCTAATTTGTTGGGTGCCTTTATCATTCTCCACTGAAATTTCCATGTCGATCTTTCTTCTGCAGAATGAATGACGGTTAAGACAAACTTAGAGCTTTGTTCTTGATAGGAATGTGTGTGGACAATAGTTTTCTTCACACACAATCTCAGTTACAATATCTCTAGCCCTGTAGGTATATATCCCTCGACCCTCGTTATTATTCAACTCCTTGCCGCCTCATAAATTTGATATGTTACTGTCTAAAAGATTGTAGTCTAATTATGTAAAAATATTGCTTAAGATATATATATGTATAATCAAATATAGATATCTATCTACACACGTTACTTCTTTGTCTTGCCAGTTTTCTGCAGTGTGAAACGGTGGATATCACTATCACATTAATAAGTTTTGTTTCTATTAGCTGGGTCTGTAATGTATGATAACATTCATTCAGAAAGCTAACTGGATAAGAGCTTTTCTCGATATTTGTTCTGCTAAATATAACTTTCACTTATGAGAGTCCTCAAGCCAGGATTTGAGTTTTGAACTAAGATGTTGTATTAGCTAATATCTTGTTCTTGGAATTAACTTGATGATGAGGAATAATTTAATAGACGGTCCTAGTTAAGTGGCTCTGGGAAACGTGGATGGTTAGTCCAACAAAACGGTGTGAACAAGTAAAAGATGAGGACTTGCGTAATGAAAATGAATGGCCTTTTCATGTGCATCAAAATGTACAACATATTTGGTCCCCCCATTGTCATGAAAACTTCATTTGGTACTCTCAAAATTCTACAAGATGTCAGCATCAAGTTTCAACTTGGACTCTCTCGTTTTCTTTTTTTCTAGATCAACTTTTAGTATGTGTTTCAAAGAATTAAATTACAATGGAATATTTGTGAGACACAATGACTAAAATTAGACAAAAACATTTTATTTCCAAAAACACAATAATGTTATAGATTAATTAAATACTACCTCCAGTCCCAAATATAAGAGCTACTTAAATAATTTAACTAGATTAAGAAAATTACATAGGTTAGTTATTCATAACAAATATGAGTTGATATCTCTAAAGTACCCTTTTTAATCATAACTTTGATCTCTTTAAAGTACCATTTTTAGTCATAACTATCCTTGAAGGGAAACTCCCTTAATATGTGTAATCAATAGGGATATTTTAGAGAATAAATTATCAATATGGAAGACAAAGTGAATTTATGTCTTATATTTAAGATTAAATTCAACTCCCAGTTAGTTTTTATGTTAAGGATTGGAGGTAATACTATATAAACAATATTTTACCAAAGAGTATGACACAAGATATATAATTTTCTTTTGAAAACAAGTGCACCTGATGTGAGAAAAATACTGATTCTAGAGTGGTTTTTATTCTTGTTTTACATACGCAATGATTTTTTTAATGATTTTTTATGTCCTTTCAGTACATGGGAGTATGATTTTGCTTCAATCCAATTGAAACTTGAAAGTAGTTATGGGAAGATATTTTTGTGTCTGTGTATATGGTATAACGTCCATCTATAGCCTACAGATCAGCCGAGAAGAAACCATAATGAAAGAAACAAGGTAGGTGATTAAAGTGGAGGATTCATTTGAAGGGTACCTTAAAATCTTATATTTCTAAATAATATTAATATGAGACTGAATGAATATAAAAAGGTGACTATTGAGTGATAATACCAGATAATTTACAAGGAATATTGGGTAGACATCAGCCTTTTGGTGAGATTGAATTGCATTGGGAGAAAAACAACTAATGTTAATTGTACCACAAGAAACAAAAATATTTGATAAAATTACATAAGAACCGTTTTATTGATCCTTAGTTCCTCATCTTCCCACATGTCTATGTCTTGAGTACTCCCATAAGCCCAGCTACACGCAAAAAAGTAAAGCAGATCAACCCCGCTTAGAATGGCAAGTAAGCCATAATAGTAATCATAATGACCAATATTGGGATCAGAGGCAAGCCAACTCTGTCTTCCTCCTCTCTGTGTAATATCCTTCACAACTGTCACAATGAGACCAGCCAAGAGATTGCACACTCCAAAACCCACAGCCAAAAAAGCCATAGCAATGCTAGACATTCTTTTTGGAAACTGAGTGTAATAGAACTCTATCTGTCCAATAGCATTAAAAGCCTCGGCTAGACCAGTTAGGCATAACTGAGGCACAGGCCACCAAGCAGACATAGTCACTGTCCCTTTGGGATTTCCCACTAAGCCTTCTCTAATGGCAAGGTTTCTTCTCCTTCTCTCAACTTCTGCTGCAATTATTTGGGCTAAAAATGTTAGTGCTATCCCAATTCCCATTCTTTGCTTGAGGGTGAATCCTCCTCTTGTTCTGCTGTGTTTTGATTTTGAGAGCAAAGGGACTAGAATACGGTCGTAGAAGGCTATCCATATGGCCATAGACAAGACTGCAAATATAGCTAAGTTAGTTTTTGGGACTTCAAAGTTGAAGATAAGATGTCTGTCCATTGTGCCAGCTTGAACCACAAAAAATGTGAGTTGGTTCAGACCAGTTGAAGCCAAGAAGCTCGGTGGACCAAATAGGCAACACTTTGATCAGTGCTTTTAGCTCTTCTACTTGCCTCACTGTACATAAACTCCAAGGGTCCGCTGGCATACCATTAGAGGCCAAGTCGCTGGCTTTGTTCCTGATCATGCACGGCTTGTTCAAGAACCTAGGGACATTTAGATTCATTTTACATTAGTTAATTAAGTCTTGTAACCAATGTCAACCAAGAGATCTTGAGAGAGAGAGATATATATATATTTGGTCATTTACAAATTTCTCTGTCTAGACAACTTTCAAGTAGAAGTGACATACCAGAAAGATTTATATAACATGGCTTATGACAGTCAGCTAGTAGTTGATTCAGACAACTGTGTACCTCAGCTTGTCCGTAGGTTCAACAAGTTTAGCACCATCCTTGAAATACCAATTTCCAGAACCCTTGGGAGGGAGAGTTAGGTGTCTGTTTTTCCAGGCTGCTGCAACAACTTGGGCCAAGCCAATGCACAAGTTCTTGTCTCCTTAGGGCTTGATATATAGGTGAGACCCCAAGACAGTGGAGAATAACATGAGACCCACAGTAATCCCAAAGCCCTCAATCCACCCAGTTTTGATTTGAATGTAAACTATGATTGTTACTGAAAGGGCAATTGAAACTACAACTGAAACATAGTACCAATTGAAGAAGCTCTTCATTATCCTCTTATTTCTTGGCTTTTGTGGGTTGTCAATTTGATCTGCAGCAAAGGCTAAAGAACAAGGCCTGATGCCACCTGCTCCAATGGCCATGAGAAGAAATGTGGAAACAAGAAACAATAGTTGTCCAACACTTGGAGTTTCACAAGTTCCTACGTACAAATTGCAGCGTGGTGGCCTTGCATGTTGAATAATAGCAGTGAGCCATAGCAAAATTTGTCCCTGCAAGGAAAACAAAAACCATAGCAACTATGCCCATTCCAATGCTTTGGAATTCTCATAGTGTTCATATACTACCACCTTTCATTTTCAAGGTTAAATGAACTAGAAAAAGTCAACTTCTTTGTTTCCTTCCCCCAGCTAACAAACAATGAGTATATTTGGCGTAGCTTAAGTCTAATGCTTGATTTCAAGGAAGTATATGATCCTTAAGAAGGTAGGTTTAGGTATGAAGTTGAGTATCAATAAAGACCAACCTGTAGGACTAGGGTTGTCTAAGTTTAAGGGTCCTAGCCACGTAAGGTTCCCACAAATTAGGCCTTCTTTATGTGAACATGGACCAACATGCTAAGAACAGGTGCAAATATACTTACAAGTAGCTCAAAGATGGTGGAGCATGCAATAACATGAAATCGTCCGAGGTAAGAATCAGAGAGGAAAGCACCAAAGATGGTCATGAAAAAAGAGACTGCACTCCACATGTTCATTATGATGGCTGCATTTGCGGGTTCATAATGATATTCTGACATGAGGTAAACGACCGTGTTTACTTGCAGACCTATATTTGCTACTTTCTCAAAAGTCTCATTTGCTGAAACACCAAATCACAAAGATTAAACTCATGTCTCACCACAGATTATAATTAAGCGTAACCATTGTCACTAGAAAACTTAAAAAGTGTCACCTATGATAAAGGGCATGGTTATGAGGCCACCCTTTTTGTTGCTAATCTGTTTGAGGTTGTTGGCTTTCTTTTGATCCTTCTCCATTGAAGTCTCCGTGTGTGTCTTCATTTCTTCTGTAATATGTATGTAGTTCAGAAGTTTATCAGAGCTTTGTTTGTGATAGGGAAGCGTGAACACTGGGTAATGTTTTCTATACTCAATAAGGACTAAGGTATAAATGCCCTTTGAAGGCATCCCTCGTTTATATCTGAGAAAGATGCCATATACCTCCATCTGCCATAGTAATTACAAGACAGATAAACTTCTTGTAAACAACCCCACGTAAAATTTAAACACATAAAACTGATAAAAAAAAATCTTATAATCTTTTTAAAATTCTGGACTATACGGTTTGTCTTACAATTATAAAGACAAAAGAGTAGGTTAGTTATTTACATAGAATCTTGTGAACGCGCGATCATTTCAATTCGAAAGGATAACACCAAAGCTGATTTTCTTGTTTGTTTTTCTTGAAGGCTTGAAGCACAGATGCCTCGCCGGCAAACGATTAGAATACCCTTTTGCGACAATTATGTGTGTTGGCACTTAAAAATCACATTGATGTATATGTGATAAAAATTTACGGAATCGGCTCATAAGCATGACTAATATGTTTTACCTTAACCTCCCTGTAAAACACGAATCCTACAAATTAGTTATGAAAAGATACGAAGGAAATCAAATTACTTGGATGTGATGTCAAATTAAACATTACATATATATATATATTTATGTGGTTGACCTTTACATATGCTGAGTTTTAGATGCAGACTGATCACAATCTTTCTATCTTGGACACTAGCAAGTGCAGTACACACTTTATTATTCATCACTATAAAACCATACTGACCTTTGAAACCACTACTCTACTTAACAATTAATGAAGAGACAAAATTGATATGAATTTAGATGAAATCAATGCTTAACAGACTTATTATCAATTCTCACCTAACTAAAAACTAGTAAGAAAAATGGGAAAATTGCCTTGCTAGTCATTCATCTGACGAATTGTTCTCGACTGGAAGTCATTAATTGAGAACCAAAAGGGAAGAGGCAAAAGCAAGATCTGTATTTTCCCCTCTGCCTATGTGAATCATGAAAGCCAGAAAAATGATGGCAATAAAAGAAGATGATGGTGTGGCATTTTTTGAGGATGCATACAGAGAAGCTTCGTTGAATAATGAAGAACAGCAACATTTTGCATTCCAATTAGGATTTCTTGGCAAGAAGATGCTGTTCACACAGCTACCTAATTTTACTTTCTGCAAGGGGAAAGGTCATCTTTCACTATGTTTCTCAAAAACAGTGAATAATGATTTCTAAGTTTACGTGTTTTTCCAAGGAAAAAAGTACGTATGATGTGAGAAAAATAATGATTCTAATGCTTTTATTCTAGTTTTATATATGTAATGATGATTCCTATGTAAGTTTAATACATGGGAGTATGATTTTATTTCAATCCAATGAAAAGAAAGCATAATGAAAGGAAAACACATTGAAATAAGAGTTAACTGCTTGAAGGTAGGTGATTGAAGTGGAGAATTCGTTTCAAAGGTTTGTGACACCACTATGCCAATAGGCTCTCCTTGAAATCTTATATTTCTAAGTAATTTTAATGTAAGACTCAATGACTGCAAAACGTGACCATTGGATTATAAATATCACAAAATATATAAGGAGTATTGGGTAGGCATGGGCCCTTTGGTGAAACTGAGCTGCATTTGCAGAAAAACTAATATCAATATACCACATGAAACAAAAATATTTGATAAATGCACATGAGAACGGTTTTATTGAGTCTTAGTTCTCATGTATCTTCAACATCTTCTGCAGGTTTTACTTTTGCGTCAATCTCATCATCCCAAGTTTGTATGTCTTGAGTGCTCCCATAAGCCCAGCAACAGAAAAAGAAGTAGAACAGATTAACCCCATTTAGAATGGCAAGTAGCCTATAATAGTAATCATAGTGACCATTATTGGGATTGCGGGCAAGCCAACTCTGTCTTCCTCCTCTCTGTGTAACATCCTTTACAACGGTCACAATGAGACCAGTTAACAGATTGCCCACCCCAAAACCAACAGCAAAAAAAGCCACAGCAATACTAGACATACTCTGTGGAAACTGACTGTAATAGAACTCTATCTGTCCAATAGCATTGAAGGCCTCAGCTAGACCAGCTAGGCATAACTGAGGCACTAGCCACCAAGCAGACATACTCACTATCTCTTTGGGATTTCTTAATAAGCCTTCTCTAATGGCAAGGCTTCTTCTTCTTCTCTCGACTTCTGCTGCTGTTATTTTGGCTAAAATTGTTAGTGCTATCCCAATTCCCATTCTTTGCTTGAGAGTGAATCCTCCTGTTATTCTGCTGTATTTTGATTTTGAGAGTAAAGGGACTAGAACACGGTCGTAGATGGATATCCATATGGTCATAGAGAGGATTGAAAATATAATGAAATTAGTTGGCGGGACTTCAAAGTTGAAGAGAAGGTGTCTGTCCATTGTGCCTGCTTGAGCCACAAGAAATGCCAGTTGGTTCAAGCCTGCTGCAACCATGAAGCCAGTAGACCAAAGAGGCATCACTTTGACCAATGCTTTTAGCTCTTCTACTTGCCTCACTGTACATAAACTCCATGGGTCCTTTGGCATTCCATCAGAGTCCAAGTCGCTGGCTTTATTCCTGATCATGCAAGCCTTGTTCAAGAACCTAAGGACATTTAGATTAAATTTGCATTGGTTAATTAAGTCTTTTAATCTATCTCAGCCAAGAGACCTTGAGAGGGGTGTGTGTGTGAGTGTAAATGTCTATTTAAGTAGGTGTGATACTAAAGACATATGGCTTGTGACACAAAGTATGCTAGTAGTTGAATAAGACAACATGGTACCTTAATTTGTCTGTAGGTTCAACAAGTTTAGCACCATCCTTGAAATACCAATTTCCAAAACCCTTGGGAGGGAGAGTTAGGTGTCTATTCTTCCAGGATGCTGCAACAACTTGGGCCAAGCCAAAGCACAGGTTCTTGTTTGCTTTGTGCTTGACATAAAGGTGAGAGCCCAAGAAGAACATGACGGCGGAGAAGAACATGAGGCCCACAGTAATCCCAAATCCCTTATTCCACCCCATTTTGATTTGATAGTAAACAATGAATGTCACTGAGAGGCCAAGGGAAACCCCAACTGAAACATAGTACCAATTGAAGAAGCTCTTCATGATTCTCTCGTTTCTTGGGTTTTCTGGGTTGTTGATTTGATCTGCAGCAAAGGCTAATGAACAAGGCCTGATGCCACCTGCGCCAATGGCCATGAGAAGAAGCGATGAAACAAGGAATAACAGTTGTCCAGCACTTGGAGTTGCACAATTTGATTCTGTGAAGGAATTGCAGTGTGGAGGCCTTGCATTGTGAATAATTGCAGTGAGCCACAGTACGATCAATCCCTGAAAGGATAACAAAAACCACAGCAACTTTGAATTCTTATAGTTCATATTCTATGTTTCATTTTCTAGAGGAGATGAATTAGAATAAGTCGATTTCTTTGTTCAATTCGGCCACCTTATAAAAAAATATGACAAGATTTTTAAACATGAAACGAGTTATCTCTTAGTCAACGACATGTGTGAAAGGTTATGTAGAAAGTCATAAGACTAACAATCACTAAGATCGTGTTCTTATTACACCTAGAGACATCTCCCGGAAAATTCATAGTCAAAAAGATGTCATAACCACCACTTAATGAACAGTAATGTCAGTTTAGGGAAATCTTACATACCTTAAAAGGATATCACTGATCACGAAAAGGTTAGGTTTGATAACCATTGATTGAAACAGGTATTGGTTCATCAAACACTATATTCATATAAAAACTCATGCCTCTATTAAACAGTTATGTTACTTCAAAAGACACTGACACTACTGCATTTCATCGGCTGTAAAGGGCAAACTTCTATAAGAGAATTCATTCTTTGCCTTTCCCACCACTTCATTCAAGACACACAAATTCATTTGTTTAGTGCACAAAAGAGAGAAGTAATTTTTTTTCATAAACGTCCTTCTTGTCTTTGCTTGAATTTTGAGAATCCAGACCACTTTCAGAAATCTTCATTGTATTCTAAAATAAATGCTTCTCTACTTTATGAGATAAAACTCCTTTCACATATTTACTTTGTATAGCAAAAAATTTTCTTCTTCGCAGCTAATTCAAATGGGCACTTAAGCCTAAAAGAAGTGCAGATCTTAGAGAATTATGTGATCTTGAAGAAGGTGGGTAAAACTATGAAGCTGAGGAATGAAGGAATCCAAACCCACATGCCAAGAAAAAGTAGAAATTTACTTACGAGTAGCTGGAAGATGATGGCACATGAAATAACACGAAATCGTCCGAGGTAAGAATCAGAGAGGAAAGCACCAAAGATGGTCATGAAATGAGAGACGGCATTCCAAATGCTCATTATTATGGCAGCACTTGCAGTGTCATAGTGATACTCTTGCATCAGGTAAATGATCATGTTCACATTCAAACCTACAGTGGCCACTTTCTCTAATGCCTCGTTTGCTGCAACACCAAACCACAAAAAGATTATTCAAATTAAGGGACGCAAATCCAAACAAGAAATCCATCCCCCTTACAACCACACTTCTCTTGTAACAAGACTCTGATCTAGAACTCATAACAAACTCATGTTCATTACAAATAATATGATGAATGACAATCATCACTATGCTATGCAAATTTGGGGTTTCTAATATGCCACTCTCTAATGCTCTCTGTAATGCCCCAACCTTCAAAATATTTTTTTCCTTTTCTTTTATCATTAAATTCTACATATAATGAGTGACATTTTGGTATCTTATGAATCGTGAGGTGACGCAATTTTAAAATTTTTTATAAATTTTCAAAAGAAAAATACCATAAAACTGTGCGGTTTTTTTTTTTTAAAAAAAATATATATAAAAAATAAAACTACATCATTTCATGCGAAATGTCACCAATTTTACGTAGAATATAATAATTAAAAGAAATTAAAAAAAAATAGGAGTATTACAGATGGTATTCCTCCGGTCTTAAATATAAGACCCTTTTTGTAGTGTAATTTATATTATAAAAAGAGTTTTATATTTAGGACCGGAAGAATATTAGATAGTATCAGAGAAACACACATTAGAAGCATAAACCCTGTGTGTGTTTTTTCGCGTATTGTTTTCTACACCGATTAGAAACAATCAGTGTAGGAAAAAAAATACTTTTCTACGCCGGTTCTTGAACCAATGTAGACTCACTAGACTGGTTGAATAACTGGTGTAAAACACTTTTTTGCCCCTTGCATTGTTTGAAGAACCGGTGTCAAAAGACTTGTAAACCTCTGAGAAAAAAGCGTCATGTTACCTATGATAAAAGGCATGGTTATGAGGCCACCCTTCCTGGCGGCGGTGATCTGGAGGAGGTCCTTGGCTTCCTTTTGCTCCTCCATGGACGTACGTCTGCAAATGGGGATGTATGGATTCTTGATTTCTGGTGTAATCTGAATGAATGAATGTGTAGTTTAGGAATTCATTGGAGCATTGATTATTGTGATGGGAAAGTGTGAACCACAAATAAAGTTGTTGCAGACACATTAATATCTCAGGTATATGTTAATGCTCTTTCAAGGTTTGTATGTGTGCCTAGTTTTTATCCCCTTTTGCTGCTGCCTCTCAAAAAGATGCTGTATCCATCTCTATCTCCCATAAATTACAAGAAAAGGAAAAGTACAGCCCTTGTAAACAACGTAAAAATTAAAACATATAAAAATGTTTATACCACCTTTCCTCCTAAATATAAAATCTAGTATGTAATGCAATTTGTATTATAAATTAGATATTATGTCTTGGACTGGAGGTAGTAATTTAAAACAGAAAATTAACCGTGCATTTTTTAAGTTTGCGTAATTAATTTTACCAACTCTTGTATTAGTAGTTCTATCTTATTCATTTTGACTTTCCACAAAGAAAAATTAGTATTGATATAAATATATAATCTTCTAGTTCTATTTATAAATCACTTCTGACATGTTTTATATAAACTAAGAAAAATCTTAAACTTCATTAATTCTTATTTGAAATTCAACAAGTTTTCAACTTTATTCTTATTTAATATCTAGCATACCTTATATAAACAAAATTAACACAATAATAAATGAAGGATAAAATTGTATATTTATATAAAAAAAAATTTCAGTAACCCATAAATAGGACCAAAAAATATATTTTTTTTCTCTGCTCAATAAATAGAATCATAGCAGTAATATTGTATAAAATGTAAAATTACATTAATTGCGGCGTTGACTCTTGGATGTTAATTTAATGATCATAAAAAACTTTATTTACAATTGTCGATGATGTCAATGTCAACTTGAATTTTTTTCTTTCTTTTTTTTTTTTGGCAGCCTTTTTTTCCTTTCTTTTTTTTTCTTTTTCTTTTTATTATTGTAGGTTGGGTTTCATATACAATGTTCTGTAGTTTACATGCGAGCCGGCGGCCCTCAAACCTTTGTGTCTTGGACTTAAAGGCGCCACAATTTAGTAATCAATGGTTCTCAATGGAAACAAAACAAAATAAAATGCATATACATATACATATACATATTTGCCAACAAACAAATTACTATATATAAAAAAATACTCTACCACTATGTTTCCATACGTAAGTCACTTATAGGATTATTAATAACATTGTCTCTAATTTTGCTCGTATTAAATAAAATAAAAAGAATAAGAGAGGGAATGTACAACATAAACAAAATCACCCTAATAAAAAAAGTTATAGCATATTTTTTCCATACATTTTTTAATAGGATACATATGAAAAATTTATGGGAAAATTAATTATTTAGTGTTTGAACTTTCAACTCGATCAGGACTCAGTCCCTAGATTTTAACCTGTTATAACTCGGTCTTTCAAATTTCATCCGCTTAATAAATCCAACCCTGCCGTTAGTAAACTAAGAAGAAGCCAGCCCTTGTGTCTCAAACGGTGTTAAGAGAGTTAAGAGTTGTCTTCGTGACATTCTTGTCAGCACCACTTAGGATTATGTATCAGGATGAGAGAAGAATTAAAAAAAAAATGAAAAAAAGAGTCGGTAACTCTCGCTCTTCCTCTCATTCTCAGACGTCGCTTGCTTTCATAATTCGCTCGCCATCTCTGATCTTTAACCCAGACTCATCTTTCTTGATCTGCAGATTTAATACATTTATTAAATCGACTGAGCCCAACGTTGCTGCCTGCTCCTTTAAAATTTCTTTTACTTATTTTGGCTGACATAAAACGCTTCTTTATCTTCGTAGTCCATACAAAAGTGGTGTGTTTCTTCTCATCGTCATCCACAGGTCAGAGTGCATTAAATGTGGGAGTACTTATTTTAGCTAGGGCCGTAAACATTAAGCTACATGTTAACGAGTTTGGCATCAAAGGAGTATTATTCTTAATCACTTGCAGGGTATGTTTAGCTCTATAATAGGAGTGTGCCATTGTTTGTAACGATCAAATAATAAATGGATTCTTTTTGGCGTCAAATGTGGAAGAAGAGATAAAAAGTGAAGACAATGATAAATGGGCTCCTAACCCACGTACCAATAATTCAACTGGGTTTATAATAAAATTCTGCATTTTTATAAATGAGATATGTACAAAGGAAAGAGTAGAGTAAAAGCATGAGGAGCTCAAGATTTGCAGAGAATAACAATTGGAAGCTTATTTTCACCATGCTCTGTTTTCAAACCAATAAAACAGAGCACTCAACAGTGGTACTCTCCTCCATCCTTCAAAGGCCCAACTCACAACTCAAAACAAAACCCACGTTATATTAAATATTTAGATCGAGAACGATGAGCTTGGGTTGAAGATCTGAGATGGCAAGCAAAGTATGCAGGTTGCAAGCTATCCCTCAGATCGAGAAGAAAGAGGAACAGAGTTAGCTCGTTCCATTCTTTTCATTTTTGTTTTTTTTTTTTAAATTTCCTTTAACCATTTTGACGTATAACTGCTGAAAAGGATGAAATGGATGCAACATTTAGCTCTGTTAACACCGTTCGAGACCCATGGGCTAGCTTCTTCTTGCTTCACTGGCGGTAGGGATGGATTTATTAAACGGATGAACTTGGAGGACCAAGTTTTTAGGAGTTAAAGTCTAGGGACTGGGTTGTGATCGAGTTGAAAGTTTAGGAATCAAATGATTAATGTTTCCAAAATTTATCAGTTTAACATATTTTTTATACGCAAAAATGGGATAGAAGTGATATATAGGAATAGAGTAGCACACGTTGCTAATAATTTGCCTGGAATTATGTCATGAACATGCTTTATTTTTCCAATGAGCCTGAAACAAGAGGCAACTAATGAGAAATGAACCAGAGGCTTCATCAATTAGGCCTATAGAAGTTTTCAGATGATATAAAAAGTAAGCATTCGAGTTCAGGTCGAGAGGTGGAATTTGTTGTCCAATTTTCACTCTTTACGTGCTCTTTCCTTTCCCTCTGTATGTTTTTCTCTCCTAGTTATTTCCTTATGTTGTTGCTTCTTGGTCTGTATTCCCTTCTGTCCACAACATAAGACATTAGTTAAACTTTTTTTTACAAAAAAAAAATATTAGTTAAGTCATTAAATATGTTCTAAATTGATAAAAATTGCTGTTTTTACCCTTATTAAATAATGGGGTTAAAAAATGTTCTCATATCTCTTCTGCATTTAAAACTTTCTCTACTCCTTATAACAAGGGGTACAAGTAAAAATCTATCATTCATTAACCTATTAACCTCTCATATTTCGGATCAAAATTTTTTCTAAAAAACTTTCTTTTTGAATGAGAAAACTTTATATATATATTGAAGCAAAGAGAGTAGCTTGTAAATAAGTGTGTGTTTGCGCGCGCACAACAGTTTTCCTCTTTACTGGTTTTTACCATGGCAGATTGCAAGTCAAAAACCAAATGCAAAAGGCAACCAAGAAAATGTGTAGCATAACATCCATGCTTGCGTAGAACAGTGACTCCTGATTCCATGTCTTTTAATCCCACCACGGGAAATATTACTACAACTTCTTTTTTTTTTGGGTTTATTTTCGAATTGGCCATGTCCAAACAGAGAAAGAGAGAAGCTATGAGACCAACAAGGAGATGAATTTGATGAGTACAATGACAGCATTCTGAGAAGCTAAGGATGCAAAGAGAGAAGATTCATTGGAGAGTGAAGAACCACCACCTGCTAAATCAGACAAAGCTCTAATGGCAATGAAAGGAGTTTTGTACTGAAGGCAAATCAGAGCAACGGCTGCACTTTCCATGTCAATTGGTGTGGCATCAAATTTGGAGCTCAAGAATTCTCTGTAAGCTTTGTTATCAACAAACACATTGCTGCTAATTCCTCTCTTCACCCTCACCACTGCAGGGCTTCTAGGTAAGCAAGTTGTGTTCACACACCCTTCCAACTTCACAATCTGCAGGGACAAAAATGGCAAACACACTCAAAACTCTCCCTTTTTGGGAAAAAAATCACTTGGGTTCTGAAACAAGACTGATAATTAATCTAGTTGAGATAGTAATTTAAGTGTCAGTAATTTAAACATAGTTCAATCGGATCAATTCAATCATGATTAAAATAATTTAATTAAAGGATACAAAATGCATTAATTCACAAATAAATAAAACATTGACATACAAACCACACATAATCCAACAAAACATAATTACTAAAGTACAAATTTGACAAACTACTATTTTTTTGTCCCCTACTTAAATGATGTCATTTTAAGCTCAACAAAGAAAAATATAAAATCTAACTTGATCGACTCATTTAAAACTCCTAACTGAACTAGTCAAGAGACTGATTCGCTAGTTCACTAATCTGACTTATTTAGAATGGGTTTTAATACCATGAAATTGCTTAGAACAATTTTTTTAAAAGCTTAAACAAAGGTTCAACTTATGAAAATCAAATTGGAAGAAGTCAAGTAAAGTGACCTTGAGTTTTGCAGCAATGTGATAGTATGTGTTGTCCACTGGAACCCAGAAAGCATGCTGCCTCACTTCTGGGATGCTGTTGAGTGGGAAAACTGCATCTGGCTGGTACCAAACTCTGTTCAACAGATGTGGTACTGACTTTGAGTAATTATTGAAATTGGAGAACTTGAGATCACCAAATCTTCTGGGGTAGTCTCCATGTGCTTCTAAAGCTAGTTCCTCCGCAGCACCATCTCCAAATCTCTGCCAAATGAGTAGTGTTTTTTGGGTTCAGATAACAAAAACTTACAATTGAAGGTAACTCGCATCGATTTTTTTTTAAAAAAATTGCTAAAATTATATAGAAGTTTTTTCAGTTTAAAAATGTTCACCGGTCTCTCTCTCTCAAAAAAAAGGGGGGGGTAAACTACAAGGAACTTCTCTATTTTTTTCCCTCAAAAAAGTACATTGATCTTCGTTTTATTTTGTCAACGCAGAATTTTCTCATTCAATTTGTTAAATATTCAAACATTTCTTCTATTTCGAAAATAGATAAAATATTCATGTAAATTTAATACAAAATCACATCATTTATTTTTATTTGAAGGATTTTTTTAAAAAAAAATTGCTCTTTTTTTCCGGAAAGCTTATGATTGTGAACTGTTTGGAAAACTTTTAAAAATAAAGGTGTAGATATGCATATATCAAAATCATACAAGATATATTTATATATATATATATGGGTTGATAACAACTAATGTAAGAACACTTAAAAGTGAGAAGAAAAAAAAACTTTCCTATAAGATTTGGCTTACATCAGAGATTACCTTTGGCTATTCAAATTGATAAGCCTATTCAAAAAGAAATCCTTAAGTGCATGCTTAATGCTTATGGTATAGTTTTTTGGGCTGAGTTAAAAGAAGATATCTCTTAACACTAAATTTGAGTTATGAAAGAGGACCCTTGAATCAAAGGATTTGTTCATCTAAATAGGAGCAAGACAATATTTTTATATTTTATGGCAGAAGCAAGACAAAATATATATACATTGTAATTTTGATAAGAGATAAGTTATTTGGAGGTTAAAATGAGAGATTAAATTATTCACAAGTAGCAAAGTTCATATATTTGATATCAAGTATGCAAAAGATGGTAAAATTGATTTATATCATTCATAAAATTTAATTTGGATGGTTTAAATGGGAAAAAAGAAAAAGGAAAAAAGCTACCAAAGTTACTTGTGACACAAAAATATCTGACAAGGTCAGAGAGAAATATTATTGTAATATTATATGGCAGTGAATGATGGATTTTAAAAGGATAATGTGAATATAAAATAGGGGCAACCGAGATGAGAATGTAGAGATGAAATGATGACGCAGCAGATTGCAAGCAAAGAAGAACTTGATGCAATCGGCAAACAAGAAAATGTGTAGCATAACATACATATATGATTTCTCATACACCGTTCGCTCCTAATTCCTTGTCCTTAAATTTCATTGCGGGAAATTTACAATATCTCTGTTTCTTTTCAAATTCCCCATGTGCAAACAGAGAAAGAGAGAAGCTATGAGACCAACAAGGAGATGAATTTGATGAGTACAATGACAGCATTCTGAGAAGCTAAGGATGCAAAAAGAGAAGCTTCATTGGAGAGTGAAGAACCACCACCTGCTAAATCAGACAAGGCTCTAATGGCAATGAAAGGAGTTTTGTACTGAAGGCAAATCAGGGCAACGGCTGCACTTTCCATGTCAATTGGTGTGGCATTAAATTTGGAGCTCAAGAACTCTCTGTAAGCTTTGTTATCAACAAACACATTACTGCTAACCCCTCTCTTCACTCTCACCACTGTAGGTTTTCTAGGTAAGCAAGTTGTGTTCACACACCCTTCCAACGTCACATTCTGCAGGGACAAAAATGGCAAACACTCTTATGATATCCTTATATCTTTTAAAATATCACTTAAGATGATGAAACCCATACCAATAAGTAAATTAGTTAAGATAGTTATTCAAGGGTTAAAAGTCCAACTATGGTTGAATTGGAGTCAATCCAATCATGATTAAAATAATATAATTTAATTAAAATATACAAAAACCATTACTCCACAGATAAATAAAACATTCTATTTTTTTCTACATAAAATGATGTCATTTCAAACTCAACAAGGAAAAAAAAATATAAAATCCAATTCAGTCGACTCATTCAAAACTCCCGATCAAACCAACCAAGAGACTAATATAATTTACTAGTTCGTTGATTTGATCAACTGATTCGGGTTTGGATTTTGATACCATGAAAATCATTTTTTAAAATAATTTTTAAAGCTTAAAAAAAGTATTAGTCTATGATAATAAATTGGAGGAAGTGAGGTATAGTGACCTTCAGTTTTGCTGCAATGTTAAAGTATGTGTTGTTCACTGGAACCCAGAAAGCATGCTGCCTCAATTCTGGGATGCTGTTGAGTGGGAAAACTTCCTCTGGTTGGTACCAAACTCTGTTCAACAGATTTGGCACTGACTTTGTGTAATTATTGAAATTGGAGAACTTGAGATCACCCAATTTTCTGGTGTAGTCTCCATTTGCTTCTAAAGCTAGTTCATCCTCAGCGCCATCTCCAAATCTCTGCCAAATAAATATTGCTTTTTGTTTTTAGATAACGAACACTTACAATTGAAGGGTAACTCAGATTTTTTTTCTATCATAAAGACAAAAGGTTTGTTAAGATTATAGAGAAAATTTTCTAGTTTAAAAATTGTCAAAGATCTCTCTCAAAAACAAAGACTTAAATTACAAGAATCTTCTCTAATTTTTTTCCCGAAAAATCAAAAATTGATCTTCATTTTATTTTCAAAGTCAACGCAAAAAATTCTCATTTAATTTGCTGAAATTTTGAAATCTTTCTTCTATTTGGAAAATAGATTAATCATTCATGTAAATTTAATACAAATTCAAATCTTTGCGTAATTTATTTATATATATGAAGGAAAATTTTTTGAATTTGCTCCTTTTTATGGAAAAGAAAGAGAACGAGAAATTTATATAATATAGAAAAAATGCGAAAATTGTAGTAATTAATTTTTAAAATAAAAAATTGAATTCATCAAATAAATATAATGAATAATTAATAGTATTCTAAATTTGTAACAAGAACCTGCCAATTCCAAAGTCCAGTATGAGCCCAAAATTGAGGGATAGTAACATCTCCAATTTGAAGTTGTGGATTTGCATTTCCTGCAATTCCATAATGAACCACCCCTTTCACTTTGAACAATGTCACCAACAACTGTGTTGCAAATCCTGCATTTAACTGCAATTCCATAATGACCCATATGAACTAAGTGAAACAAATTAAATACGCTTATCTTATAATTAAGTTAGCAAATAATAACCCCTATACATGCTAAAACATAAAGGGTTGATCTGATATTTAAAAGAAAAAAACCATGATTTTGACTGTTATAATTATAACAAGATAGCATACCATGCTCAATCCTGTCATAACAATTATAACCCTCTTCTTTTCCAGTTCCCCTATGCGAAATCGTCTTCCTGAGATGAAAACCAGATTAAGAAGAAGAAGAAGACATTGAAACCTAAACAAAACACAACAAAACTTGCCTGCAGAATCCAAAAAGAAGAAGAAAGTACAGTGAAACGCAAACAAAAAACAAAAAAACTTGCCTGCAAAATCAAAGAAAGGTAACTTGGGATCAGCGTGGAAGGATGATGATTGAAGAAGAGGGTTCATCTCAAAGGCATTTGGCACCACTATTCCAGTATATGGCCCTTTCCTATTAATCTTGTTAATCTCTTTCCAGTTTTGCCCAGAAACTTCACCATTCATTCTCCTGCTAACGCACAGTACCAGCAACACCAGAAAAGCCAACAGCCGCCTCATTTTTCTCAAAGTCTCAATGGGGGGTTTCTTCTCTTTGCACGATCCCTGCAGATCTATACGTGACCCCTTTTATAAGTACTTAATTAATGTCATTATATTAATCAATCAATCCTCTTGTTTATTTAGTTTAAACCTTGTAGATAGGGAAAAATTACATTATAATAATATTTTTTAATTTGATTTAATTTAATTAAGTCTAATAATATTTTAATTTAATTCAATAATACTAAATTGTGAACACTTCATTTTGATTGGTGCGGCAAAAAAAAAAAAAAAACCAATAGATAATAAATAAATAAATGGTAATGGAAAATCCTCATTGATTCTTTCTTGAAAGTTAAGTTTGAAAAATCGCCTTTGCAATAAATGACAACAAAGAAAAACTTATTGATGATGGGATTACATGTAGATTGGCTTCCGGACTTAGAAAATGCGGTTTTGAGTAATTAGTAAAAAATTTATTAATATTGATTGGTCGTTTGATTAGGAAATATGGTGTGGAGCCATTAAAAATAAACAGTAAAATTAAATTAAAAATTAAAAATAAAAGTCTCTCACTTATGTTGATTGAGTCTTAAGTTGGGATATACCATTGAGGAAAAATTGAAAATTGAAAATTAAAAATTAAAACTGAAAAATCTCTAATCACCCATAATTGGGCCTCAAGTTAGGAAATCTCATCATGGATTAATAAGAAGGAAGAAATTATTTTCATAAAATAAAAGATATCTAACCAATAAACAAAAAAGTAAATTTTTTAAATAAAATAAATCTTTTTCTAAAAAACACCACCCAAATGAAAACGCATTTATGCTTTGAACTACATGGACTTGAATCTTTTAAAGGATAAATAGGCACTAGTTTTTTGGGCTAGGTCAAGTCTGAGTAAATAAATAATTTTTTTTCATTTTTTTGGTCATTGAAATATGCTTAAAGACCACATTAACTTTAGATAATCAACTAGGTATGATTATTTAGTATTATACTGGTCAAAAAATCATTTAGTATTATGGGGTGCTTAATACTTTTCCTTCACACAATCAATTCTCGGAATTTTTTTTTTCAGTTTTCATATATCATATTTTTGTAAAAAAATTTCGATCCTAAAATTTTGATAGCAATTCCTGTTTTTTTCATCCCCTTACGTGGAGAAAGAGATAACATGAATAATCAAACTAAATGTGTTTGCTGGTCAACCATATATTCGTAAACGTACACGAGTTAAGTGAGTTTGATCTTACGTGGTGGATGGAAGGGCATGCGAAGTACTCCTCCGGTTGGCCAAAATAAAAAATATTTTTTTAATCCTATCTAAAGTGTAATGAGAAAATTTTTTATATATAAATATATAATTTTACCTTTTATTTATTACTATTTCCTATCCTGATTATAAGATTTTATTTATAGACTTTCTAATTATACAAAATTTTTATTTATAGGACCGGAGGTAGTATTGTATTGATTTTATTTATATAAGGTATAATTTATATTAAATAAGGATAAATTATTAAATTTTAAATAAAAATTGATGAAATTTAAAAAAAAATTCTTAATTAATTTGTAGGAACACGTTGAAAGTGAGTATTTTGATCTGTCTAAGCTCAAAAGTCAAAAGTCTAAACCAATGTGCGGCGAGCAATTGCTGGATGGTCAAACTAAAATTAAGTATCCTTTGCTTCCGCCATAAGACCCTGACTTTTCGCTTCTGGATCCCGGAGAATCCAACGGGCTATCGGAATCTTTATAAATAGAGGTCCGCTCAAAATAGAGTTTATTTTCAATGTAATTTAAATTTAAAATTCATCAAAAATTGTATTGTCTATGATTTATAAATAATATGATTAATTTTATATTCGTTATGCATTGGTAGGGATAAGCAAAAAAGCACTCCTTGATTTTGAATTCAACTTTTTCTTACTAGGCATAAGTGTATCGTTATTCGACGCAATCACATTCAATTAAGCATTAAATGTTGAGACACCTTTTTTTATAAAAATTCGACAAGTGGTAAGGAATTTCAATCTTATAATGGCATGCATGAATCTTTTCTTTTATCCTCCCTCAATTGTCCTTTCATTCGATTACTTAAATGTATAAGATTCCAAATAATATACTCTTTTGATCTTAAATATAAAATTATTATACATATTAATATAAAAAATTTATATTTAAAACCAGAAGAGTAATTGATGAGTTGATCCGAAAGTTTTGCGATGAAGTGTGTTGCTTCACGCAAATGGCACGCGAATCAAGTTGCCTCCTTGTATGGGAAGAGGAACAAGGCTTTCATCCGATGGGCGAATATCAATAATGGTAACAATAAATAGTGGTATCAGAGCCTGCACATTTTTGACAGAAGTGAGATATTATTTGTGAAGGTAAGTAAGAAGATATAATCTTATCATGAGTGAAACCTCAAACAGCCTTGAACCCGTTCGCCTTTCTTCTTCCTTCATCTCACAAAGACTTCCTTCCTCTATTCGTAGAACTCTCTCCAGAAAAATAGAGAACCTTGTTGAGATAGATCATCTTCCTGAAGATGCTAGAGTTCAGAAAACAGATCTACCTCTTCTCAGTCCTTATAGTCTTTATTACCGTACCAACCGTGTCACCAGAAATGTTAGAAACCCGATCTCCACCCGAAGACCCCATGTTAAAGAAGTTGTCCAATCTACCAAACTAGAAAACTGTGGTCTTCCTGCCTCTTCCTCTGAACAATATGTCAATATTGACATACCTCAACCTTTGATCAACGAGTGGATAGCTCAAGGTTATACCCATCTCCATATTGGTACTGGACGTCTTATCCTTACTCTCCATGGGAGAAAAGGAATCCCAGCCACTGCTAAAGTTGCTCTAGTCGATACTACATATACTACCTACAGTAATGCTTTGATTGGTGCTGTCTTAACCACTCTTAGCAACGGTAGTGTCATCCTTACCATGGCCCCAGACTTTAACATCAAGCTTTCAGATCCAACTTTGACTGACAGACTAAAAATCTAGGTCCAGATAGTTGGAGCAGAACAAGATCCCAAAGCTATTGCCGCAACTCTTCATCATCAAGTCCTCTACAGACTCCAGAACCGTGCTCTTGATCTTCATTTTCCAAATTCCACTAAAGATGCTCTTTATGTGGTTTCTGATAGAGCTGATGATACCTCTATCATCCAGATTCCTCGACAGATCCCAAAAGAAGAGCTTGCTCAGTTGATGCCTCTTGAGTGGATCACCAACTATGAAAAACACTTTCATAGTGTTCAGAGGGATGTCCATACTTCTACTCCTCCTGAGATAAAAAGGCTTTCAGATGGCACAGTCAAAATTGTTTTCACCAAGCCAAGCCAAGAAGGTTCTTCTGTACCTTCTGGACGTATTTTGACCATCACTCCAGCCTATGTTCCATTCAAGAGTGACCCTCCAATTGCTTGGGTAGATCAGAATGCCGAGCCATGTTATGTGTCTCACATAAATGGCTACTTCATTTGGGATCATGCACCAGAAGAATGTGATCCTGACTGTGAGTGTGATACACCTTACTGGTGGAAAGCATCTGACGATGAAGATGAAGATGGATGGTCTTACCCTATCAGATATGCCATAAAAAAGAAGAAAAAGGAGAAGAATACATCTCCTTGTTCCCACAAATGTTACCATCGCCACTATGATGATGATGATCATGGTCCAAAGCAGAAAGCTAGAAACTGGAAGCCTCCTGTCCCTACTGTTCCTTCTAGCAGATTATCTCTGTATGATCTTCTTAAAGAAACAGGTCATGAAAATCTCCTCCCTAAACAGAGGCAGATCCAGTGATTCCTATCATCCAACAATCCATCCCGTGTATAGCAATGATGGATCCGTATGAACAGGACTTTCCTCCTCTTGAAAGAAGAACCAACAGGGAAACAAAGGTTACAGCAAGACCTTTCTCTATTCCAACAGAAATCTCTCCTACTAGTGAAGTTAGACCAGTCTCAGTAGCAGAAGAAGTTCTTAACTGGCAGACCCAGAATGCGATCGGTCAGAATAGAACTCTGACAAGGATTGATTCAAAGCTTGACTTGCTGACTCTTAGAACTGATACTCTGACGAGCAGGCTTGACCAAGTCTCTAATCAAGTCAAGCAGCTTTATAAGACTCTGACTTCTCAAGCTTATCAACTGGATGCAGATTTGAAGCGGTTTATCGAGAAAGAGTATATTGGACCAGAATTTACCAAAAAAGAGCAAGAACTGTCACAGATCCGAAAGGATTTGTAAAGGATCGAGTCAGACATTGCTAAGGATCATTCACAAACCATCTATGACCCTTATCCGTCTTACCCCTCTAGTTTCCAACTTCCCACATATCCAACATCACCTCCTTCTTATCCCAGAGAATCTGATTACAGCAAGGTTTTCAAAATGTCTTATCCTATTTTAAGACAATTGAGAAAATCCCGACAACCAACTCTTTCACCTGTCCAACCAAACCCTCCTCCCAAACCTCCAGTAAGACCACCTCACTTCCTTCATTGAAAGATTTTTCTACCCATCATCCTCATACACTAAACCTATTGAACCAACACTGTCTTCTCAAGGAGTCGTAATAAGAACTCCACCATCATCTCCACCAAAACAAACTTCTCTTCTAGACAGAGAAAAAGGAAAAGAAGTTGCTAACCCAAACAAAACCATAGCCACTTTCCAATCTGTGAACAAAGATCAATCATCAACAGATGGAACCTCTGAAACTGAGTCTGATTCCTCTATTGAATACAGTTCTAACGCTGATCCTGAGACATACCATGCTGACATCTCTAAGGTAGCAATGGTCCAACCAGATCCTACAGTTGAAGATCCTATTGATGAAGAACCATCTGTACCTCATATGTCTGAGCCAAGAAGAACATACTATAAACCTACTACAGGTCCATGGTTCACTTTTGATGATCTCCCTCCAGAAAAATGGAGAGATAGACTCCATGAGTTCGGAGCATGGATTGATCTGCAGCTTGCCAG